AATACTGGCTATTGATCCATCTCCCTCAAGCAGCCCAGGTTGTCATATCAGCCTTGGTTTACTAGTGGTCAGACGCATCCTTCATGTGAACCATGGTGTTTTGCATTTATAGGAGAAAAAGAATGAAGACACCAAGACCTGGTGAGTGGCTTGCCTAGAACTGACTACTCAGTGAGTCAAGGTTAATGCTAGGATGGGAACTCTCCAAAAGAGACCTCCAAGCAGTGAAGTGAGACTAGATAGGCTGATGTGTGAGATATATTGACAACCAAGTATCTATGTGTTTTGTGCAGAAGGGAGGTAGCTGCTTGCTTTCTTTATCCTCCTGGGCTTAGAGGCAGAGTGTACGATAAGTCTTACTACACAAGACACATACTGCAGATTATCCACACGAGCTTTTATAAGTCATCTATAACTTCCTCTGCCTCTCCTACGCTGAATTAAAGGTAAACTATTTCCTTTCCCTTTCAACCCTAGAGCTAGAGGATGTCCAACAGAAAACTGCTCCATTCACTGCCATTAAATTCTATAGACACTCAAAAGTACACAGAGAACATGATGAGCCTTGTCAGTGACATACTAGAGAAAGAGGGCACGGGGGGGGGTGACGTCACTGGTGCAATGTGTAGGGAAATGGAGGTGAGGCACACTGCCCTTCTGCAGTTCAAAGAGCATCTGCCATATGTCGGCTCCACTCTTTGGGAAACTTCTTTGGGAAAGCAGAAGTGGAACCGAGTTGTAAGGATTGGAATGGGAGGTAGGCATAATGGCACATGACTGTGATCCTAGCACTCTAGAGACAGAGACAAGAAGATCAGAAATTTGAAGTCAGCCTGAGCTACACAGTGAGTTCAAGTCCAGCCTAGGCCACTTGTCTCTGCTAGTGTGCGTGCGCACATACACATGCACACACACACACACACACACACACACACACACGCACGCACAAGCACACACATGCACACACACACCTTACCATATCTTCAGTTCTCAAAGTCAGATTATTTTACCCCCAAGTTACAAAGAGTACACAGACACCCAGAGGTGAAGTAGCTTGCCCAGCACTGTTGAGCCTGTAGCTAGCTAGAACACCAGTGTAAACCTTGGCAGTTTGACTCCAGAGTTGGTATTTTCATTCACCTCTTATTCTGCATTATCTGGCTCTGATGTCCCTATGCATTTGGCTCCAGGCTTTGGGAAGGAGAGTGCTTTCTTTCTACAATATCATTTTCCAACACACAGAAATCTTAGTGAACTGAGAGATGTTTAAGAATAAAAGGAAGTATTGGCATATTTCATATGGGAAGGTTAGCTGCCATGCTGAAATTCAAACAATCTCCATAAACCAGGACCATGCACTAGTTAGCGACCAATCTTTTATGGCTCTCTTATAACCAAAGATGTAAGCTGGGGGCGGGGGACAGATTGAAACACAGCACAAAATCCAAGGCAACTGCTTCTAATTTTCAAGGATTTGGCCTGTCCTTGACCTCTGAGGAACAGATCTATGACTTTGGCTATATAGAGAGAGATACATAAAGCACTACTTATCTACATTTAGAATGGTCGCACTCACTGAGAGGAACTGGCCCCACTTGCAGTCCAGCAGTTATATTGATTGTATAAATCAATACAAATGCCTATAAAACAACAGAGTCACAATAAATGATGATGAGGATAGATAAATAACATTTATGAGTACTTTAAGTGGGCAGGATCGAGTAAGTCGGGATTCTCTTGGCACTGGGTAGAAGGCCTGGGATTAATTAGGGTGTTTATTGGAGCGAGTTGCAAAAATTAAGAGTCGAACAAGACTTGGTACAGCTGCCATGAGAATGGAGTCGTACAGTGTGCCGGTGGCACAGCTTGATGAGTGAGTACCAGGGAAATGGAAGCCATCACCAGTGATTTGAGTGAGACACTCAGCTTCCCTGGGTCTCAGTTCTTCCATCTATCAGCCTGGAAAATTGGGTATTGAAATCAAGAGTGCCTGGTGAGGTACCGAGTTTTTCAGAAGACGAGTTGTCCCCCTCACACATCTTTTGAGTTCAGAAACAGCTAGTTTTCTGAAGAAATGCCTTTAGCATGTGGCCATGATTTGTTCCCAAGTCCCAGTGATAAGGGTGTTCCCTGGGAAGGAAGCAATTTAAACATCCATATAGGGAAAATGGTTGGCACTCGGAATCTTGCCAGGAACATGATTCCTTTGCTGTGATCTCAACAGTGTGGCCCAGCCTAAACCCAGACCCGGATCTCAAATGACTGCCCAGGCCTTGCCTCCTGGTTGATGTCAGACACTCACTGGTGAAATTGGGTGTTGCATTGCCACTGTTACTGATAGCTTTCTAGTGAGGCCACATTTACATCTTGTTTCCTGTTTGTGTGATGTTCTGTGTCTTATAACCCAAGTCTCAAGGAGTTTTTGTTTTGTTTTGTGTTTTTTCCCCCTCATGGCTCTGCATTATTTCTTATCACCCCTAACCAAATATGGCAGCTTTAAATAGTGCTGTCATCTTCTTTGGGTTCACTGCTTTTGACAAAATTAGGTATGGATTTCTAATGGGGCTTCAGATTAAGAAAGCAGTAATAAAAAATCCTCTCCCATCGGTCAAAAGACACAGAGTCAAACGGTCCTGAAAGGTCACGTAGAATTCACCTACATTTATCTGGAGGCATCTAGAAATAAGAGAGACCCTGAGAGAGGACCAAGCTAGCAGTGTCTGCTGCAGTAGAAGCAGAGGCAAGGTGGTCTCCTTTGAGCCCCTCATCTGGGTGGGTTTTTCACGCTCTGCATCTTTCTGTGTCTGCCACTGGCTGCTAGGGTGATGGATAAGACAGCCAGCCTGTGGCAGACATTGGAATAAGCAACCAGGGACCCAGATTCTGTGCCCCTGAACCCCATGTTTCTTGTTAGAGGATTACGTAATGATGGGAGCAAACACATCATGGTCTGGTCTCTGTCCTGTCCCCCTCCTGCTGTTCTTTTCCCTGGCCTTTGCTTCTCAGTCAGGCTTATTTTGCCAACCACGCTGATCAAGTGTTCTGTGTACATCAAGCATTCCTGCACCTTGAGGAAGTACACTTGAACTCTCCCTGGCCTGTGATACACAGGGAGAGAAAATGGTTTTCAAAGAGGTTGCCTAAGAGGTCTGGTCACATTGCTGAAAGGCTACAGGCCCCAAGAATGGCTGCCTGTTGCAGGACAGGCAGTGAATCATTGGCTACAGTCTCCTCTGAGCCATAGTCTTCTGGTGGCTTGAGGGTGTTCCTCCTGGCTCTCTGAGAGGGAACGAGACACCACCAGAAAAGCTGAAATCACTGGGGAGTAGGGCTATGCAGGTTCCATGCGGTCACTCAGAACTGTCTGTCTCGCTACCACAGGGGAGGCTACAGGGCAGACACTGGTACTGCAAGGTGCTCAGGCCTTTGTGACTTCCTGTGACTGGTACCAACTCAGAGAGCTGGTAGAGCTCAGTCAGTACTGGCACAGGTGTTTTGTGTTTATTTTCCAGGGACCCCCCCCCACACACACCAAGTAAATATGACGTACCCTTATTCAGATAGTAGGTGCTATTATTGACTGATATAATCTTAAGGGTGAAAGCGTATCTTTTCATAGCATAGCTGAAGGTGATATTCACCTCTCGTTCTATCCACAGACTTCCTGGATTCCGGAGATCATAAAAATCTCGGCATTTCTGTTTTGAATGGCCCTTAGACAGCATCTAGCCCAGTGGTTTTGTAGTAAACAGAAGAAGCAGAGCTGACACAGGAATGGTGCTGGAGCTAGCATACCCCATCCTAAGCAGCAACTACTGCTCAGCTCCCGTGCTGTCAGATCTAGGCCAGTGGTTCACAGCCTTTCTAGTACTGTGACCCCGTAATAGCTCATGCTGTAGTAACCTCCAACCATAAAGTTATTTTTGTTACGGCTTCATAACTGTAATTTCGCTACTGTTATGACTTGTAATGTAAATGTGTTTTCTGATGGTCTTAGGTGATCCCTGAGAAAAGGTCGTTTGGCCCCAAGGGGTCATGGCCCACAGGTTGAGACTCGATGTTCATTCTGCTCTAAAGTGTTAGATCAGAGAGAAAGATAGGGATATGGGTGTGTATGTGAACTCTTCTCATACTTGACAACTAATGAAAAATGAAACACTCGCTGTTAGGTAATGAAGCAAGCCTTTAGCTTTTGGAGAGTGGATCTGATCTAGCCCAGCTCTAGCTGAGAGCAGACAGGATCAGGCCAGGCTTGCCCAGGACCACACAGCTGAAGATATAGCAAACGCCTTGATACCGTCTTAGGCACTCTGGCCTGCTCTCTCGCGAGACGTGGTGGAACTTGGCATCTATCTTCCTGTCCTGGCTCCAGCTTCTGGAGTAGCATATCATCGTGGTGTGAGGGACACGCTGTGACTCTGAGTTAGAAGATGTGTCTCAAAGTCTCCCGTTTACCACTGTGTAATGCTGGGGGCGTCTCTTGGGCTTTGGTTTCTTCACTAATAAAATGAACATTAATCTGCTGAGCCCCTCAGGGCTGGGTCAAAACTCACACGAGTATTTCCACTGCCTGAGAACACTATGCAGAGCAAACAGCCCAGGAAACCTGCTGTATGAACACTCTCAGTAGAAGATACAGATGTTAAATAGAGACACTGTGGTCAGACCCTGGCACAGCAACAGAAGCTCACAGGGTCTCCTGAGCCCTGGGAACAGAGGCAGTAAGCCACAGGGCTGGCAGATATGCTCAGCAGAAATCCCCCTCATCCCAGGAAGAGACAGGTCCACACTGCTGTTCAGTTTCATCTGTAGATCAGGGTTTACACGGTGTTCAGAACAGTCTCAGCTACACCATCATCCCTGGCATCATTAGAATCATCCAGAGCCCACCTCCCCCCCCCCCCAAAAAAAAATGCTAGGACCAAATTAATGCTCCATGTCCTGAACTCCCCAAAGCCATTTTGACTGACTATGAATCTTTTTTTCATCTCCATTTTCAGGGACGCAGACCGGGATATTTCTCCTTTCTGGACCCCTTTTCTCCAGGAGTCTGGCTCTTCATGCTTCTAGCTTATCTGGCGGTCAGCTGTGTCCTCTTCTTGGTGGCTCGGTACTCTTCCTTTCCCTTGCCTTCCCTGTCCTCACACCGCCACCTTGTGTCCACTCTGGGAACTGCATGGGGCGAGGGGTTGGCTAGGAGGAGGAGGAGAGAGGATGGTTTAGAAGACCTTTGTGCCAAATAGAGACGGGAGAGGGACTGGGAGCCTGAAACACTCTCTGCCCAGCTGTCAACCTCACACTGCCCATCCATCTGTCCACACATGAGTTCACTACCATGCACAGCGTGGACAGGTTTGCTCGTCTGGATTTGGTTTTGTATTCCGACCTCCTGAATCCTCCCAGCCACCCACCCCAACTTGTATAGGAGCTTTGGGAAAAAGAGGAGAGGGAGGGGGTGACAGGAAGATGACTCTAATTAAGCATGGTGCATTTGGCTATCCTGGCATCTATCTTTGCCAGGATCTGCCATAAAGTGCTGAATGACAAGAAATGGAGCCTGAAAATCCAGACAGAGTGGAGGGAGAGGGGGAACCAGAGGCCACAGTGTCACAGGCCAGGGAGAATGCCTCTTCTGCAGAGGCTGGCTCTGCCTCTGAAAACACAGCTGTCTTGTTGAACAAGAACCACAGAGGGTAGCAGGCAAGAAGAGTGTACATTTGTGCTAGGGAGAATTAGCTTTCCCTTGTCTCCAGAAACCAGGAGCTGCTCCTGCCAATAGGGGAGAACTCCAGGATGTCCCTAACTTGTAACTTCCTAAGAATGTACATGGATGGGATTATTTGCCCTCGAGCTAAGGTAGCCTGGACTTTAGGACAAGCCACCTTCCACCCACTCAAGTACCTACCACCTGCTCACCCCTCAGCTCACCATAGCGGACTGTTGAGTGGGAATGGATGAGCTCAGAATGAGTCAGAGTGAGCTAGAGATCCAACAGAGGCTCCGTTCCAAGTGGCTTCTCTTTGTCTCCAGACCCCAGCATCGGGGCCACGTGTTTCTTTGGCCCCTGCTCTCTCTCTGTGAGGAGGTCTTCCCAAGGCCGTGTCCCTTCTACGGATTGGGGAGTCCGTGTTCTTTCCGCTCGGGAAAGGCAGCAGGAAAGTACTGAGCCTTACAGGCGCCCCGTGTGCCTCTTCTCATGGTGATCAAAGGCTAAATCGAACGCCCTTCATGACCACCTAGTAGTCTTCAAATACCGAGTTTTGCTACTTGTATGCCACCCACCCCTCTCGGCCCCACAGGCATCGCCACTGTCAAGTATCTGTTGTCAGTGACAGCTGGCGAGGCGCGGGAGCTCGCATGCTGTCTGACACTTCCGCTCTCCACTTCGCAGTGCTGTCTGCTGCTGTGTTTAGGAAGCTGTCTGTAAGATACAGGCTCCACTGCTCTGAGATTCTCTTTGGCCCCTTGTGGCTGAGCCTGTATGCATGGACAGTTGGTTCAAGTGGACTCTGTGCAGCTTTCAAGTCACCTCTAAGGCTCGCTCTGAAAACGGTCTTAGGGCTTTGTTACTGTCTAATCACACAGGCTTGACTTGCCTAAAGCTGCCCTGATGGGCTCTGCCCCTGCCTCTGTGGCTGCCACACTCCCGCACTGTCCCAAATCTGGAATTAGCGAATAACACAACAACAACAACAACAACTGAAACTGTGTTAGTTTATCTTGGTAGGAGGAGGACACAGGACTGCCATGACTTTGAGTCTAACTTGGGCTATGTAGTGAGTTCCAGGCCAGCCTAGGTGAGAGTAAAACCCTGTCTCAAAGACTGGAAATAGAAAAAGTATTTAAGGGATAATCATATGACTGCATATTTGTATGCTATGCAAACCTGGGATATCTATGCTACAGCAATGGTTTGCAAATGAATTTCATGGAGTACAAAGGCTCCTGAGAGGTTTCAGACACATGTGGGTATTGAGAACTCGGAAGCCCCAGTGACTCTTCATTCAGACAGGTTGTACTTTCACCTCTCATAAGCTGTACTTCTGGGTGAGATTTTAGAGCAGGAAAATGAAACTCTAGGCAGCCATCCCCAAGCCAGCTCATCATCAGAGCTACCTCACAGCAGGGTGGAGTGCTAATACTTGTGCTTCTGCATCTCTAAGGCTAGGAAATTGTGTCTGAGAAGAGGAAGTCAGTGGCTGTCACTGTGGATACTGACTTGGTGCCATCCACATCACTCAGGACCTTACAGATTTTTAGTCTTCATACAACTCACAGACTTGTTGCACAGGGGCTGCCAGCCTTCCTGGCAATTCTGATGTAGCCCAGGGTTTGAGAACTACAGAACTAGGGTGAGTGTTTTTAAGTCATGGCCCTATGGAACCCTGGGAACTTTCTCTGGTCTCCATGGGAATTGACCATGAAAGAGCAAGGACCTTTCCAGGCTACCCAACCCTGATGCTCCCAACTTTGTGTCAAAGACATCACTTTTAGTCATTTTTAATATTGGAGTTGAACATCTGAGTTTACTTAGGGGAGAAAGGTATTTATTTGAATGTCTAAATTCAAATAGTTTGAGAAGTACCAACCCGGTCCATACCCCTCCCTAGGCCCCTCCATAGGAAAAAGAAATTCAAGAATCTAAGTACAGTACAGGGACACCCAGGAAGATGAGCTGTGCCCCTCTCCAGCACCCCATATCTACCCACCTCACCACAGGAATTTGGATTCTCTCCTACAGGTTAACTCCGTATGAGTGGTACAGCCCACACCCTTGTGCGCAGGGCCGGTGTAACCTTCTGGTCAACCAGTACTCCCTAGGTAACAGCCTCTGGTTTCCTGTGGGAGGCTTCATGCAGCAAGGCTCCACCATCGCTCCTCGTGCCTTGTCCACCCGCTGTGTCAGTGGTGTTTGGTAAGGCCCCATAGCATCCCAAGGGCTAGGGGATTGGGTGGTGGTGGAAAATCCCCCCTAACCCCAGCACTCGGAAGGCAGAAGTAGGCAAATCTCTGAGTTTGAGTCCAGCCTGGTCTTCAGAGGGAGTTCCAGGAGAGCCAGGACTACACGGAGAAACCCTGCATGGGTTCCAAACAGACCTGTCCTTTCTGATGGCAAGGAGAGTAGCCAGGAAGGTGTGCCTTGCCAGGCAGACCCTAGCAGGGAACCATCTGTTTTACAAGTTCAGAAGGGGTTGGGCAATGTGGATGTGGGAGGTAAGACAGGGTGAAGGTTCAGTAGTATTTACTCTGTCCTAAAACATAGCACTGCCTCTGGGGTGTGGGTACAGAGGAGAGCCAAGACAAAAATAAGAGAAAGAAAGGAGGAAGGAAGGAAGGAAGGAAGGAAGGAAGGAAGGAAGGAAGGAAGGAAGGAAGGAAGGAAGGAAGGGAAGGAAGGAAGGGAAGGAAGGGCAAGAAGAACAACCACCACCACCAAGGAAACAGCTTTGATGCTCTATAGCAAAATCTGACCTCTTGACCTGAAAAGTGACTGAGATGGAGTGGCTGGCCAATTATACAAATAGGATCTGCAGTAAAGTCCCTGAAGGAGAAGGCTCCTCTTCTGCTTTCTGCTCCCAGCTTCTCAGCCTCTGTCCTCCTCCTGCTCCTGGCTCTGTGGGCCTAGCCTGTATGTCTCAGGAGATACAGGAATGGTCAAGCTCTTAGACTCTCTGATCGGCAAATGATTCAACATTAGGAAAGTTCTTTGAAAACTTACAAGAGCTGTGAAATAAACTAGGCTTTGTATTAGACTTTTGCGGGGGAAATGAACATAGGCAGCCCAGAAGACAAGTTTGCAAAATACATTTATTGGACCCTCTCTTAGCAATCTACAATCTACAAGTTTGACTGCTGTAGCTCCCAGAAATTCCAACCTTAGTCCCCTACTTCCTCCTCGACCTGTTTAAGCCAAAGGCAAAGAAGACTAGGTACTTCCATCCTTAATTACTAGTGCCTAGGTTACACAAGTTGGTTTACACACAGGTACCAGAGTTGTTTCTAGAGCTGGGGCTAGTTAGCTGGGACAATGACACCCCTTTTTATCTAGAGTTTTCATTTGCCCTGATAAATACAAAATATGGCAGGATTTAAGCCACTTGGGCAAAATGCTTGCCTGTTCACGGGCATTGCGGAGAAGTTACTGAGTAGCTCAACATGCGGTACTGGGCCTTGTGTCCCCAAGAAGAGGATATTGGCCCAGCAGAGACAGTCTCAGAATCCTTCGAAATATAGGAAACCCAGACAGAACCCTTGGGAGAGGAGCCCCTGAGGGTGTTAATTTCTTTGGGTGTTGTCTTCCTACGCTCATTGCCGCTGGTGTGCCTGGGGCCATTGTTCTTTGCCTGTTGCATCTACCCTTGGCTCCCCACTGCCCCCAAGGAAAGCCTTCCTCCAGAGAGTTTTAGAAGTCCACCTCCTGCTGGGTGCTGTTCTAAAGAACGGGCCTCAGACCTCAGACTCCTGAGTCACTGTGTTCCAGAGCATGCTGGGAAGGGAACTCTGTAACAAAGAAAAGCCGCCATGAGACACCCTTACTATTCCTTGTCCACAGTTATCAGCGTGTCTCTCTGCCTCTTAAGTTCTTAGATATTGAAATCAGGTTTAGTTGGGACCACCATGAGGCCTTGGCCTTCTAGCCAGAGCAAGTTACAGAAAATGTCACATTGTTCAGAAGAGTGCCAGCTTCCCAACTGCTAATGTCCTCAGATACAGGGACACAGCTCCACCAACTCCTTGAGATAGCTCGGCCTGCATTGGGTCAGTAGAGCTGGTTTGCTCTTATGACCATGGCCCTAAACACTCCACCCAGGAAAGGACAGACATCAGAGTGTAGCCATGAGCCTGAGAGAAGCTCCCAGACAGCTCTGAGGCCATGTCTACATTCAAGGTACATTAACCTGGCTTCTCATCAGTGCATCGAGGCTGCTGCCAAACTCAGGCTTTCCCCTAGGAATGGTCATGAGGATCAGCCTCCACCAGTGTAAAGAACTGAAGGAGGTTCTTGAGCAGGGAGGCAAGCCTGTCACTTAGAGGTCGCTACTGGAAAGGGCCTCAGGGAGGTGGCCAGATTATTTTTATCTCCTAGCCAGCCTGGAGACCTCTCCACATTTCTCTAGCTTGTGCATTCATCCATTTCATTCTAGACTGCTTATCATAAATGACATAGTACCTCATTTGCTGTTGTATTCGCCAGAGATATGTAGAGCTGGTGTCATTATCCCCATTTATTAGATAAATAAGCCCAGAAAAGACCAGCTTCCTTGCTATTTTATTAATGGACTGTGACCACCATTACAACAAACAAAAAGTATAAACAACCTCCCAAAACAAACAAACGAAAAAACAGTTCACATCCCTGGTAGTCTAGCATATAAAGGACCATTGAGTTAGCGGATGGTCTGGTTGTGTCTCCCTAGGAAGGCAAACAGCTGGAGATCTTGGTAACCTTACAAAAGGGACAATGGGATTTCTTGGTCTTGAAAATCCACCTGGCAGTTGCCAGCTGCTGAATCCTATGACACCGCTATGCATTAACATAGCAATGTCTGCATACTGAGTAAAGCCATGTGAATTCAGATGCCACTGATTTGGAATTGGTGATTCTCCAGCCTGCTTCGTGCTTAGATCTGTGTCTGAGCCCCTAACACACAAGGAGGTACTGATGTAGATCCAGCCTAATGAGCAGATGGAAAAAGCTTGCTTAACCTACCAGAGTGAACACACTGCTGTTTGGCATATATGCTGCCTGCATTGCAAAATTATTCAAATTTCAAATGAATTCTAGCAACTCAGTAGAATACTCTTTTAAGTCTTGAAGCAGCTTGCCCATTGTCAGAGTATTTTCCAATTTCAACTTCTCAGCAGTCCAAAGATGCTTTTCACAAGTTCATCTTCATTGAAGACTTTCTGCTGTTACGGTCGTAGAACTGGCTCTGTACAGCTGTATCAGTATTATCAAGGTACTTCCCGGATCCTCTCTTTGCTTGCCTGCAGCAGTTGGATAGTGGGCTTGCCTCCCTGAGTTGTAGGGGTTAGCTGAGGTAGTAGCTATCGGTCAGCACTTGGCAACATACAGCTCCGCACAAGGCCCTCACTAGCTCATCTCCTACAGTCCCCAGACTCTTCTGTACACGGCCTATACATCTTCCTAATGACAACAAGTAATCACATTTCAGAAATAAGAAAAAAAAACCCCACAACCAATTGTCATTTTTCAGGGAACACTCATGTACGTCCTGCATGAGTACCTGGGCAATGATACCTTCCTGGTCTCTTCCTGCCTAGGTGGGCATTCACGCTGATCATCATCTCATCCTACACGGCCAACCTGGCAGCCTTCCTGACTGTGCAGCGCATGGAAGTGCCCATTGAGTCAGTGGATGACCTGGCTGACCAGACCGCCATCGAGTACGGCACGATTCACGGAGGCTCCAGCATGACCTTCTTCCAAGTAAGCACCACATGGCTGCTCACCAGCATGGGGGGGGGGAGGACAGAGGAAAGATGAGATGCTTGTGCCCTAAAGATCAAAACGCTTATCTCGTTCTGTTTTGAAAATCTACCTTAAAGGTCTTCATGGGGCTCAGCTCTGTCCCATTCCACAAAATTTCCCTCAGAATGAGGTCCCAAGAGGATTCTGTATGACTATCAACCCATCCCAAATTGTTGTGCGTGAGCATCTGTTAATACTTGAGATGATTTTAGAACTAATGTGATGGAACCGTCTAAATGTATAATAGTTTTGCGTTTGTTTTATGTGTGTTACACGCTGTGAATCAGACTTGTAGTCTTGTTTACATTACTGCATAGGATGGAGCTGATGTTCTCATTTAAATTTTAAAAAAGGGAGTTAGAGTTTATAGTTAGTATTCAGACAAAGCAAGATTAAAATAATATGAGGCTGGGGTGGCTCCATGGGCAAAATGCTTGTTTTGCAAGCATGAAAACTTGAGTTTGGATCCCTCGCTGCCTACATTAAAAAACAAACAAACAACAACAACAACAACAAAAGGTGTGGCCATGCACATCTGTAACCCCAGTGATGGAGATGAGGCAGAGGCAGAGGCAGAGACAAGCGCCAGCCAGAGCTCACTAACAGGCAGTATTGCCAATCAGTGAGCCCCGGACCCAGTGAAGAGACCCCTGCATTCAAAACAAAAAACAAAACAAACAAACAAGAAAAAGAAGAAGGTGGAAAGTAGTACAGGAAGGCAACCCGAGTCCACCTGGACATGCATACATATGTACAAACATAAACACATACACCTGCACATGCTCACACTAGTAAAAATAATGGGCGCATGACCAACATTTAAGAAACACTAAATGAGGGTGACCTGGGGTCATTTCTCCTAGACTGACTAGTTCTCTGGAGCAGACGCAATCATGCTCTTTGGGACATTGCCTCGTGAGGCTCAGGAGAAGCCCCTGTCACAGTATAGTGTTCAATAACAGCCAAGCTGATTGAGCACCAAGGCTGGCAGAAGCAGGCCACGCAGAATAGCAGTTCTCATATGCTTCAAGAGCTCCAGGGAAGCAGATGTCCCCCGGGGCTCACAGGTGTCTAACCAAGCTAACATCCAAGGAGCTTGTTTTCACGTGAGATAAGCCCAAGGCCTTCGGTCTGTTTTCCGTAGGAATTTCAGTGCCTGTTGGCAGGGGGATGGGGGAAGGCCTTGTACGAATAGAGTTTGGATGGGCCCCCAGGATTCTATCTCGTTATTATTGGTAAAACAGAAGCCAGCCTTGGGTTGCGTAGTTGATAAATTTATATGGGTGGGTGGAGGATAGCCACCCTGCTTCTTTTCAGAGCTGTCTTTTTATTGGTCCTGAATGAAACTGCATGCACTCCCCCAAACTGAGGGACATGACCAGAATTTCAATTCCGCCTAAATGAGGAGGTTGGTGCTGGAGGAACCCTGGGAGGGAGATGAGACAGAACCAGTGATCAACCCATTAGGAAGAACTCACAGTACCTCAGGTCCCTTCCTCATCTTCTGTTAAAGGCATGAGTCTTCTGTAATGCAATGGCAGGGAACCTCTTGAGTTGAGACAATAAGAAGAGAAAGGTGCTTGGCTGTGATGTGAGTACAGCAGCAGAAGGGACCACATTGTGATGCTTTGATTCCCTCCCTCTTTAAGCCAACGTTTCCCTTCTCATTTCCCAACCTTGCTTCCTTCTGATGTTTTCCCAGAATTCCCGTTACCAGACCTACCAACGCATGTGGAATTATATGTATTCCAAGCAGCCGAGCGTGTTTGTGAAGAGCACGGAGGAGGGAATTGCCAGGGTGTTGAACTCCAACTACGCCTTCCTACTGGAGTCCACCATGAATGAGTACTATCGACAGCGAAACTGCAACCTCACTCAGATTGGGGGCCTGCTGGACACCAAGGGCTATGGGATTGGCATGCCAGTCGGTATGCAGGAGAGCAAGAGCCTTTGGGTATAGCTTCCTCCAGGCAGGGTCAGGGGAGCCAAAGCCACTGGATGTGGTCTAGAATCCATTAGCCCCTGTGTCTAGAACCAACAGGTTTGAGAATGACTTTAGGTAGGCTTTCTAATATTTTTTTTTAAGCAAGCAAAAGTACTTCCTTATTTATTGACTTATGTATTTATTTATGTTTTTATTTATTTATTGGTGTTTCAAGGCAGGGTTTCTCTGTGTAGTCTTGGCTGTACTGGAACTCTGTTGACCAGGCTGGCTTCAAACTCAGATAGCTACCTGCCTCTGCCTCCTGAGTGCTGGGATTAAAGATGTGTGCCACCACATGTATTCCTAAGTAGAAGTGTGTGTGTGTGTGTGTGTGTGTGTGTGTGTGTGTGTGTAGCATGTACATACATACATGTAGAAGCCAGAGGTTGACATTGCATATCTTCCTCAGTTGCTCTCTATCTTAGTTTTTGAGACAGGATATCTCACTGAATTGGTTGCTCACTGTTTTAGATAGATTAAGCCCAAAGATCCTCCCAACTCTGTCTTCTCATCACTAGGCTTACAGGCTTGCACCACCATGCCTTGCTTTTTACTTGGGGGCTGCAATGCAGTCCCTTATGTTTACAGAACAAGTACTTTACCAACTCAGCCATCTCTCCAGCTCCCTAATCAGTAATTAAAGAATTAGTTGACTGGTTATTTCATTCATTCACTATTTGGGGATAATTTAATTATTGAAGCATAACTTAGCAGATACTTTTGGCCTTGTTCTCTTTGTCTCTTGGGTTTTCTTTGTTTGTTTGGTTGGTTGGTTGGTTTGGTTTGGGTTTTTTTTTTGGGGGGGGGGTAGGGCACCTTGGCCATTTCTCTATTGATTAACATCTCTACTACCAGTGGGAAGAAGGAAGAGCTAGAGGCACTGAGATGAACACGTCTTGCTGATTGTAGTTCACTGACAAGATTACATAAGATGACATTCAAATTCTATGTAAATTTCATTGTTCTGTCTACTCCTACTTGGTGTGGGTCATTGAGAATGGGCACCATCTGGTTTCATAAGTTGTTTGGCTTCTAAAATGGTGCCACTGCTGTGCTTCTTAAAGAACATTCCCTTTGCTGATAGCTCCACTACCAGGAAATAAGCTAAGTTTAGCCGCCGTGATTGTGAGGGAGCTAAACACATCCTCTGGGTGATTTGATGTGGGCCATCGACCACATCAGTGTATCGAGCTGTCACATTGTAAGCATGTTCCTGAGTAAGGTGGCAGGCGGCAGAATCAAAAAGTCAGGGACATTAGACCACGCGAGGGCTCTGATCTTTGGCACACAGACCTTGTAGTCACATTTCACATCCTTGGATTGATCTCTCCATGATTGGAAGTTATAAATTACAGAATTCATTTACACCTTGGAATATAATGAGCATGATCTTAGAGTCAGGGACACCTGGCCATGAGACCTCAGAGAGGTGTTTTATCCTCTTCTATCCTCAGTTATTCAAGTAATAGAGTTAAGTTTTTCATTCCTGCTCAGGGTGTCACTGTGAGGGTTAGGCCTGTAGTTTGTCAGTTGCCTACCCTGGGTGTCCCATACTTAGCCTTCCTTGGGAAAGATTAGTGTCCTCATAGTTCCCTGTGTTGTTTGGTAAAAGCATATTACTTCTTAAAACACTGACTGGAAGACAACCAAATGAGAATGGCAATAATGAAAGTCATCCCTGAATGCTGTCAGTTCTGACAACAACAGCGGTTGTATAAACTCGAGGCTTTACCCTGTGCGCTGGAAAAACCTTCATAGGCTCTGTTTATGGTCATATTTTTTTATCAGTGCCCATTGATATTAGAGAGTATGCGCCTTTTTGGGAAATGTATTGGCTGACATTTTCTTTCAAGATGGTGGGGTAGATCATGAGATGAACTTGGGGGGGCACCTTGGCAATACTCTACTGACTTTATAAATTTAACCTAA